AAAATAGAACTAGTGATAACAAGGCGCTCTGATTGTTTTTGTTGTAGAATACGATAGGGGATATATTCACACGTTATAGAAACGAAAATGATGGTGTATAGAATTGATTTTAAGATAAAAAATTAGACGACAAAGAATTAACTTGACGGAGCTCAAACTCAAAACACACGGCAGCAACAAACAGGAAGTGACGTGTGACAGAAAGTCACCACTCCCGAAACAAGGATGAGATTTCCTCAGTCTGTCACCGGATAGACAGGGTCTTAGCTATTGAGCAATAGCTTGTTGTGCAATAGTGTGGTGAACTGAAGAGAAGCACCATCATGGAGCTGGGAATCTGAAGGGTCTGGAGAGATTCTGGATGAAGTAATTGTCTCTGATCTCTTGTCAGGTGCTCTCTAACCTCATCAGGCATTATAGGAGAAAACTCAGAGCTGTTATTATGCCAAATGGAGGTTTCAAAAAGCATTGAATAAAAGGGTGCCGTTAATTGTGTCCAATGTGTATTAGAGAAAAACATTTGTCATAATGACATTTCCCCCCATTTTAAATTCTTATTCTCCAATGAAAGGTTAGATTTATGTGAATTTCTTAAATAAAAGATCAAAATGATTAACAATGCAGATTTATTTTCACAGCCTTCTTTGATCATATTTACCAAGGGTGCCAATAATTCTGACCACGACTGTATACAATGAAAAAATAAATGAAAAATAGTTTCCTTTTCACCTTTACAGAAATCACAAGAGAGTAATCAATATCTAATTTAAATCTGTAACAGGGCGAACGAGACGAGAGACGTGCGGATCCATCTGCAAAGCTTTATTCTTAAACATAGTCAAAACAGGCATGGGTCGGACAATGGCAAACAGGTATTTAGAGAGCAAGACAGAAGAGTAATCCAATAAACAGGCGTAGGTCGATCAACGGCGTCGGCGAACATAATCCAAAGGATGAGGCAAGCGAGTAATCCACAGACATAATAATCCAGGCGAGGTGCGAACAGAATCCAAACAACAAGACGAGAGAAAAATCCAAGACAGGCAGGTTATCAGGATCAGGCAAAACTAGATGTTACGAAACAGGACTAGAACTAGGAACTAGACTAAACTCAGACAGGATACTGGCTCCATAAAGTGCACCACTAGGAGAGTGATAAACACAGACAATACTCGGCATTGAATGGTTGTTTGAGACTGATTTTTATAGTGTGTGTAATTGGCTGCAGGTGTAAACGTAATCAGTGAAATGGAGCATGGGAAATGTAGTCCGTAGTGACATGCGGAAGTCTGTGTAGTGTAAGAGTCAATATAATCAGAAGGCGACCACTGGTGGCGAGCAGACGGAAGACCATGGACCGGATTCGTGACAAAAGCGTTCTAGCACATGTTTTACTGGATATAGTCTATGCCTTATTTTAAAAGAAACCTCTTTTACTTTGTTATTAATATAGAATTTGTCCATGCTTCGCCAAGCTTTACGCCAATTCACATCACCAAATACAGAAGACCAGAAAAAGCGAGCTGGAACAGTATTATTAAGTATATTTCTAATATAGTTATTTGAGAGCCTATTTTGTATAATATTTGTATTACCAATAAATATTTTACTCTTGATCACTACAAGAAGTTCAGGTCTTTCTCCTGTGATGCACTTCTGAGAAGGATCAAAACCTTTTGAGGGATTGCATCCATTACAACTGCAAATTTCTTAGGTCTAACTGATATTTTAAATTGATAAAAAAATTCCTTTTATGTTACTAAAACGCCATCATTGTTTAAGAGCTGGCTAACTAATATAATATTGTTATCAAACCAGTAATCAAAAAATAGACATTTATGCTTGTAAAGGATGTCTTTGTCATTCCAAATATAGTATCTCCTTGGTGAGAAATTATGTTTATAGGCCAGAGTCCAGTTTGACACACCCACCAAACAAGAGAAAACGTATCTCAAACCCCGTTGCACAGCGTTGCACTCCGTTTTCAGAAAACATGTCGTTCAAACCGGGAACCGTAGCAAAACTTTGCGCACCGGTTTGAGCTTGAACTTGCCCCAGGATTCAGGTCAGTTCTCTGACGGTCTTACTTAATCGGTGACTTAAGAAATGCTGTTTCTGGGTCCAAGCCTCAACTCGTTTCACTTGAGAATACAATCTCAACAGCTGTTTATGAGCACTGTTTATTCATATTACACGTTTAAAAACGTACGGTGTACACTACAGTCTCTGTGCTCACAGCGTCCCAGACACAAATATTTTTTTTATATTTATTTATATTAATATTTTCATTGTCTGGCTATCTGGGATTTCGGTATGAAGTTAAGGGTTAGGATTAAAATCTTTCTGGAAGTATTATATCACATTGTGAATGTATATTAGCACCGTTTGTTGTTTTCTTGTGGCATCTGATAGAGCGGTTTTTTTTTTTTTTATTGCAAATATAAACAAACTTTAACATTTAAATACAACTGTGGATGACAGCATAAATAATATGAATAACAAGAAGACAGTAAAGAATATAAAATATATAACAAAAATTACCATAAAACACGAAACAAAGTAACTATGTAATGCGTCAAATTACATTCAACAGATCATTATACAGTTTAACAAGTTTGCATCTGATAGAAAGGGTTTGGACCCAGAAGCGGTGACGCGTGACGTCAGACTTAACAAGCGGGCAGTTCATGCGCCACCGTCGAAATAACTTGGCGGCTAGATTGACCGTGCTGTTCGACTTTGCGGCTGGTCAGGCTGCGATCGGAAACAAGTGTTTCTTTTTCAAAGAAGTGTTATTTACCCGAGTTGTGAATATGAGTTTGAATATGAATTAATGCGATTAGATACGCCCTGTAACCAAAAGTAGCCCAATGGCAAGAACGCACGTATTTGTACAACATAGTTGTCCTCGCGAGTATTATGATGAATAAGCATGCAGATATATCAGATACGCATCTTTATTCATAATGTTTACTCTTTGTACCTCTGTATGATGGATTGAGTCTGTCTTTTTCTCTGCTTTTTTTTCTTTTGTTCACATCAGGAAATAGTGTAAAAATAATAAATGTGAAATAAAGTTATGAAATAAATAGTTTGAAAACGTATTATGCTAATATGCTTAAACTTATGTCTTCAGGTTTGAAATGCCTGCAGCATGGCGTGTGCATAGCAATCTGCCACTGAGTACCTCAGAAACGCCAGGAAAAAACTGGTGACTCATATGAAGAACTTCCCTCTGATCATTGAGAATCTTTATCAGCAGAATGTTTTCAATGACTATGAGGTCGATGCTCTCAAAGCTGAGAGGACAGAGTTTGATAAAGCCAGAAGTATGTTAGATTGGGTCATTAACAAAGGTGAAATGGCCAGTTATGAATTACTCAGGATTCTAGATGTCACTAAGAAGAGGACATTAGATCCTGGTTTACACTATTGGATCAGCTGTTTTTCCTTCAGAGTGGAAGATACAGAGCCCAGCTATTTATTTGGTGAGTAGAAAAATGAAATAATATTTTGGTGAAATTAACACATTTCCAATACAATTTTTAATGCTTTTGTTGCTATTATAGGTGCAAAGCCCTGTAAAGGCTACCAGACACAGCTCAAGATGAAAGCAAAAAGTATCCTGAAGGACCAAAGGGAACATAGCTGTAAATATCTGGACGACAAGGTACAAGGAAACTTCAGTTTCATTCCTCTTGTTTTAGAGAGAGACTCTGTGGTGAAAACTCCTCAATGCGAAATAAAAACAAAAAATGCAAAAAGCTACGACCCAAGAAGCTGAGAGCTTACATTCCTAATGAGGAACAAGCACTATCACCTAAGGATCTCCTGAAATGGCAGGACAAGAACATCCTCATCATTGGCAAACCTGGAGTAGGAAAGACTACAGTTGTCCAGGAAATGTTGCGTATTTGGGCAGAGAAAGATGGCAGCGAAATCGACTACATGTTTTACTTTGATGAAAGTGTTTTGGCCCACAGTTCTAATATTGCCAGTTTGCAGTCTATTTTGTTTGATGTGTATTTAAAACCCATGGAAAATGACAGAATGGATGTTTTTAAAGATATTGAGGAAAACTCTGAGAATGTTGTTCTTATATTGGATGGAGTGACGGATTTTGGAAAACATTCCATCTTGTGGAAGATCATGAACCACGAGCTCCTGCCCGATGCCAAGATTGTGATAACATGCAGATCAGAGGTGGAATATGATCCACTTTTCTGCAACTGGCCAACACAGAAAGTGTATGTCCAAGGGTTCAGTAAAGAGTCTATCAGCACATACTACCATACTATGTTGGGTCATGATCCTGTTCTTCTAGAAGTTGTTTTGAAAAATCAAGAGTTGTTCAGTCTTAGTCATGTTCCATTGTATGCATCCATGATTGTAGACTTGATGCAATTTAAAAATGGCACAGTATTCGACCATCCACACACAATTACAGAGATGTACATCCACATTTTCCGTGCTGCTGTGAAGAAACAAATTAATCAAATAGATAAATACCTGAAAGACATCAAAGATCAGGTTTATTACTTGATGGAAAACGCATTCAATGCAACTATGCAGAAAACCCTAAACGTTATTAGCTGTGATTGGACAGACATTAGTCATGCTTTTCTCAAAATGATCACAATAAGAGACTCACCAACATCTGCAATGACATACTGTGCGTTTCTCCACAACACAATGCAGGAATTCTTTTCAGCTTTGTGGCTTCTTGGACATCCAGATGAAATTGAAAAAGTCCTACAGCTCTGTCAGACTGAAGAGCATAAACACATGAGACATGTTCTTCCTTTCTTATGTGGACTTCTGAGTGAACACAACATCAGACTCCTCAAGTGTCTCTTCCCAGGGGATCAGACAAAGAAAACATCTGATTGGTTCATTGAGAAACTTTTGGACACTTTTCTCCAGCCTCAGAGTGACAGTGAAGAGTTTGATCTTCTCTATGTGTGTCAGTGCTTGTATGAACTCCAGTCTCCTAAAGCCTGCTTAATGTTCCTGGAGAAGATGGACCATCAGCTTGAACCAGAAGTGGATCTTGATCCTCATCAGTGTTGTGCTTTGTCTTATGTGATCGCTCAATCCAGAGATAAAGAGGTTTATCTGAATCTGGAAGACTGTACCATAGCTGATGTGGGAATGAACATGATGCTCAGCTGCTCACCAAATATAAGGTAATAGAGATGAGTTTTTTTTTTGTGTGTGTTTTTTTATTTTAGCTGTGACTTTAGAGAGATTTTTACTCTGCTGAAAGACTGACATCACTGCTAAAAAGACAAAGTTAAAAATAGTATGAAAAATGTGATTTATAGTGAAGTAATTTGCCATTTAAATAATATATTAAAGCAATAATCCCCAAGAAGTCATGGTTTACAGTGAATTTAGAACAGCTAAGTGGTGTATAGGCACTATACAAAGCGTCTATTTTGTCTATTTTTAAGATTGTTTTTTTTTTTTTGGTCATATCTGTCAGTTACTCTATTGAAGGGCTGCACTTAACATCCATATATCCCTAGAAATGAACATTGTATGGTAGACATAGTACTGAACCTCTAAAGTAGATCATCAAGGCATAATTTTAGATTTCTGTGTTGCAGGTTAAATATTTGTAAAGAACCACTGGAGCAAACCACATTCTTTCTAGAATTCTTCCATAAAGCATCTCAATGCTGTTGCAGCTTTTTTGATCAGAGATACAATTACAACCACGAACCACTCAATATACTTCTGGATCTTTACTCGCATGTAAACAACTATGAGACTCAAACAGGCAGGAGTTTCCTTCCAGCATTACAGTCAGTTTTCCAGTCAGCACCTGATGTCTGGATCATAGATCTCTCACAGAGAAAGACCTCAATCCTCCTGGAAGTGCTGAAACTCCAAACAGAGAAGAAACCAGTAGAGCTGAGAGGAAGTTCAGAGGAAGAGAGAGAAGTGATGAGTTTCCTTCAGTGTCTGCCCTACATCTCACAGCTGAGGTACCTGAACTTGCATGCTTTTGATTGTTGATTTAACCGTCAGAGACCCAAGCACTGATATTCATATATATATCAAGAAACTGAACATTATTTACAACTTTTTTACCTGTAATCCATAGCCTCAGGCAAATGGTCCAGACTACTGTCTGGTTCACGAACAAATTCTTTTGAACTGGTTCTTTTTAGTGAACTGGATGAAGCAGTTCACCAAATCAGCCTGAAATAGTTTGCGGGTCGAGCCAGCACACATTTACAAGTTACTCAATCAAAACTCACTTTCGGACATGCCTGAAAGTCACTTCGATTCTAAATGAGCCAATATATTGATGTGCACAATCTTATGTTGCTGGTTCATGCCAGCTCATTCGGCGGCTGCGTCCAAAAGCTGAAAAATGCTGCCTTTGGAGGATGTATTCCAAGGTAGGAAGCTTCACTTCCTGTCTCCTGAGATGCCTTCATCTGATCGATTTTTGAAGGTAGCATAGATGTATCCTTCATTGCCTTTGATATCCCACAATCCTGTGTGTTCCATTCCATGATGGTTGAGATAAAAAAAATAAAGCTGGCATCTGAAGGTTGTGTTTGGTGGTTAGTGTGTAGGTAAATGTATGTTTCTGAGCAACGTTTTGCATTTTTGATGTTATTTCTAGCGAGAAGTCAGTATTATAGTAATTAAATATTTGCTTATTTATCACCAAAGCTCATTCTATTTTGTTGTAGATCATTAAACAGTTACGCTGCCTCAGAAGTCAATTTCATGAGGTGCCTTCGTGTGCAAATGCTGCCTGAAAAGTCATTGCCTGATAAGGCAGCTAGGCAACAATTCAGCAGCCTATTATTTAATAACCTTATTCAGTTGTTGCAATTCTGTTATGCTGGGTCTCATGAATCCTAAACTTTAACTTGTAAGAACAAGGCTTGCGTTGAGTGTTTAATCTATATTGTATCTGATTCCAATATTAAATGTTTGTACAGTTATCAGAGATAAATTCATTATTGACATTTCATAACTAATTTGATGCACGGTCTCAAGTGTCTACAGCAATGTGAGCTGAAAACAGAAAACACTACAATTTAATTAGCATTATTTAGTAACATAATAGCTATAATAAGTTCTGTGATATCTCTATTTATTCACATTTCTCATTTCCATTTTGTTACAGAATCTCTAATCTGAGTGAAAGTGTTCAAAAAAGGCTTCTTCTGAGTCTCTTCATTAAAGCAGCAGAGATTGAGACACAGACTGGAGAGCAGATGCTGAAACTGTTAACATCTGGCTGCATTTACAGCTTTTTTCCTTACAGATGGACTTTCAGTACTGAATGGAGTGATTTCCTGCTAATTTTTTACTCACATGTGAAGAACTATGAGACTCAAAAAGGGGGGTGTTTCCTTCCATCATTACAGTCAGTTTTCCAGTCAGCACCTGATGTCTGGATCATAGATCTCTCTCAGAGAAAGATCTCTGTCCTCCTGGAAGTGCTGAAACTCCAAACAGAGAAGAAACCAGTAGAGCTGAGAGGATGTTCAGAGGAAGAGAGAGAAGTGATGAGTTTACTTCAGTGTCTGCCCTACATCTCACAGCTGAGGTACCTCATACAAACACACAAATAGAGTTTTTATCATTGTCAGAGTTCTGTGATATGTCTGTTTATACATATTTTTCATTTGGTAACAGGTTTTACCTTTGGAATGGCATTTCTGCAGCACAGTTTGTTCTGAGACTCTTCATTAAAGCAGCCGAGATTGAGACACAGACAGGAAAGCAGATGCTGAAACTGTTATCATCAGTCTGCAACTACAGCTCTTTTCCTTATGAAAGCACTGACAGAATTAAACAGATTGATTTCCTGCTGGATCTTTGCTCACATGTAAAGAACTATGAGACTCAAACAGGTTGGAGTTTCCTTCCAACATTACAGTCAGTTTTCCAGTCAGCACCTGATGTCTGGATCATAGATCTCTCACAGAGAAAGAGCTCCGTCCTCCTGGAAGTGTTGAAACTCCAAACAGAAGAAACAAGTAGAGCTGAGAGGAAGTTCAGAGGAAGAGAGAGAAGTGATGAGTTTACTTCAGTGTCTGCCCTACATCTCACAGCTGAGGTAAGAGAATCTCTGGAAACTTACAGTTATTGTGAAATATGATTTCTGTATAAGTTGGAACATGTTTTCAGGTGTTAATGAGTGTTGTTAGATTAGGGGTTCTATTTTGAATGATGCATTCTGACCGTTTACTACACCTGATCCGATTTAAGTGCAGTTTCTTAAGCCCAAAGTATACTTCGGCCATCCGCATTCCGCGATGGTCCGCGCACTGCCCTCATGAAGCAATTTTAGTCAACAGAATTTTCCGCAGATGTCCGCCCACACTGTTCATGTGCAGCCCAATTTTTGTGACCACAAGTTCAACAGCGCAGGCGCGAGGTGAATGCTGAGACAGAGCGAGTCAAGTAGGTGGTACTGCGCATGTGTCAAGCTTGTCCCTTTGCACTCATCCGTGGTTGAGTGTACTTTGAAAATGTGCGGACGCCTTTAGATCTGAACAAACCATCAATCATTAATTTAACCATCGCATTGAGTTTTTAATGAGGCTATGAAACTTTATATTAAATGCACCAGTTCAGCTATGATCTAGATGTTTTGTTCTTGCATAGAGTGGGTTGCATCTTTGCAGGGATTCCCTGTGGTAAGCTGAAAGGGGTTTCCCTGGTGTGCTCATTCATTACAGGTCTGTTCATGTCTGGAGTGACATCTTGGGAAGCCAGCCACAATGAGCGTTGACTGATGAAAAAAAAGTCAACTTCAAGCAGAATCACGTATCAAAATCAAAATCAAGCAGAGTCTCGTAGGTGGGTTGAAGTTTGAGGAGGGCAAAAAATAAAGAATCAGACCCTACAGCTTCATGGCAAAAATAAGAATAAGAAACACTCAACAGAAAAGAAAAGAAAGAGAGAAAATAAAAGTACGACTAGATTGCTTGTTCCTTCATGATTGTAGATCTAGAACCGACTTGCAGAACAGTCTAGAACAGGCATGGGCAAACTCGGTCCTGGAGCGCCGTTGTCCTGCAGAGTTTAGCTCCAACCCTGATCAAACACACCAGAACAAGCTAATCATTGTCTTCAGGATTACTAAAAGGCTACAGGCAGGTGAGTTTTATCAGGGTTGCAGCTAAGCTCTGCAGGAAAGTGGCCCTCCAGGACAAAGTTTGCCCATGCCTGGTCTAGAAGAACAACAATTTGTTTGTGTTATGAGTTTTAGACTCTGCTGTTTAACCAACTCTTCAAAGAGCTTCTGACCAATTAGACATTGTCTTTAGGTTGGGGCATAGCTTTGTTTTCCTCCCCTCACATAAATCACGTCATCATCTCAGCCACATTGTTCCTAATTGTCCCGCTCTTGCAGAGTACAATTCAGAGTTCTACAATGAGAAGATAAGTTTTACCAAGAATTGATTGATATCAACATTTGATAAATGAATTACCATTCACTCACATACCAAACATCACATTATCCATTAATCATCTTTAATTAAAGCATAATAGTCAAACATGTAGGTTACAGATATGACATAAACTGTAGAATTATGCAATGGAATGATATTTGGTTATGAGTCCTTCTTTGCATCATTTTGGGATGAACTGATGAGTTTTGATATGTAAACGCACAGGGGCAATTCTAGGATTTTCATTTTAGGGGGGCTCAGCCCCCAATGAGGGAATAATAATAAAAACTAATAATAAATAAATAAAAAAAATGTTTGACTAATAGGGTAGGGTGATATACTAAACTTATTGCAGTATTCCACTGTATTGCATAGATGGGTATAACATTTGAGTAATGAATAAGCCAAATGCAAGTCTTCCGAGAAGGGTCTGGCTGCAGCCTCGCACTTGCTCTCTCAGACGTGCATTCTCAGACTTGCATTCTCAGACACTTGTGCTTCTGCTAGCGACGTCACTTGCAGGCTTTATTTTGTATTTTGTTCTATTTTTTATTATTTTTTGTTTGAATCTCTCAACATTTTACAACAGTAGCCAGGTGGTGAAGACAAGAAAAAAGAAACTAAATTACAATGTCACTTGCAATCGCCACTTGCACTCTCCGCTACCTGCGACGTCACTTGCAATCAACACAAATGGTGCGTGTTGCCAATGGAGACAAGACGCTGTGGTGGTGATTAAACGATTACAACTAATTTAGTACTATAACATACAGGGTCCTGCAAGAAAAAGACAAGACCCGCAAATCCGTGGCTACAGAACAGCAGAATATGAACGCAATGCACAAAGTCTCTCGTTAAGCGTTTTCCTCCTGTAGAAAAACATAAACACTTAACATGGCTTAATGTATTAAGATGCTATTAAAATATCAAATTAAATATACAATTTATTAATATAATGAATATGTATATAGTATTTTCCTCCCATACCGCAAAACGTATGTGGCATAATGTGGCATAATGGATTAAAAAGGCCAAACTCAATATGCTCCTCTACGTTACACACACACACACACACAAACACACACACACACACCTGTTTTCTATACAAACACAAATTTTTACTGTTTGCATTTCTAGTACAAACCTCTTTCTTTAGCTCAAGTACTGTCTGTCACGGTCTTTAATCATTTCTGTGCATGACTGTATGGTACTGCTCAGTTTGTGCTCGTGGTAAGACTTCCAATCGACCCCCGGGGCGGTTACTTCAACCGCTGTCTGTCCCTTCGAGACCCTGGTCTCACATCGTGCTCGATTTTGTCACTGCCCTCCCGCCCTCCCAGGGTAATATGATCGTTTTGACCGTAGTGGACCGGTTTTCGAAGGCGGCCCATTTCATTCCCTTGCCCAAATTACCCTCTGCCAAGGAGACAGTGGTTACTGTCGTTGATCACTTCTTTCGCATTCATGGCCTCCCGATGGACGTGGTTTCCGACAGGGGACCCCAATTTGTTTCCAAATTTTGGAGAGAGTTTTGTCATTTACTGGGGGCGAGTGTC